TGTGAACGAGTTGATTCAGAAAGGTTTTGAAAGGAATTGAGACACTTAGTCTCTTTTAAGAAGACTTAAGTTGAAAAAGTCAGCCGGACATTGACTTATGAGTTAGAGGGATCGGATGTGAATTCCGACGGTTCGGTTAGCTCCGGGAGATGATTTGTGACTTAGGAGAGTGATCGGAAGTAATTTTGGAGGTCCGGTGTAGAATTAGGCTTGAATTGACGAAGTTAGTATTTTGGCGAATTCCGGTTGATAGGTGAGATTTTGATCCGAGGGTCGGAATGGAATTCTGAGAGTTGTTGTAACTTCGTTATGTCATTTGTGATGTGTGCGCAAAAGTTCAGGTCATTCGGCCATGGTTTTGGTTGGATTTTTGATCGAATGCGTGTTTTGGAAGTTTTAAAAGAACTTAGGTTTGAATTCGATGTAATTCGATGATTTTAGTGTTAGTTGAGGTGTTTTGATGATTGGAGTAAGTTTGGATAATGTTTTAAGACATGTTGGAATATTTGGTTAGAGTCCCGAGGGGCTCGGGTGAGTTTCAGAATGGTTTCGGGCCATTTTTAAGCCAATTTAACTTGCTGGATTTTTGACAGCAAGGTTCGAATATTTTGATGCGAGAAGCATAATTTGGAAGCTTATATCTCGAAATATATATGGAATCGGAAAATATATAAAACATGAAAGTTGTAGCCCTTGTATTCTAGTTTCCAAAAATTTAAACTATTTGTCATTCGGACATTTGTACAGAAAGTTATAATCGATAGGACCAAAAATGCTCATTTCTTCATTTTCGTTTTGGGATTTTTGGAGCTCGTTTCTTGGGCGATTTTGAGGTGTTCTTCACGATTTCAATTCAAGTAAGTGTCCTATACTCGAAAGTGTTTATATTACATAAATCCATGGTTATTTTCATCGTTTAATTCGGATTTAAATGGAAGAAATAAAGATTTTTGCAAAATCTTCCAAAAAATGAAAAATTAAGATTTGGAAGTCGAATTTTTGTCGGAATTTGATAATTTTGGTATGGTTGAACTCGTATCGGAATGGGTTGTCAGATTTTCTAAGTTTTGCCGGATTCCGAGACGCGGGCCCCACGGGCGAATTTTGAGTGCAATTTCGGATTTTTAATGGAAAGTGTAGAATTCCATATGGAATTAATTCCTATAATTTTTATTGATTGAATCGAATTATTGTGGCTAGATTCGAGGCATTCGGAGGTCGATTTGAGAGGAAAAGGCATTGTG